TGATGAATCAATCATTTTGGTGAGAATACAGCATACTTATATTATTTAGTTATTATTTTTGAAAAGTACTAATGAAAAAAGTTTTTTATTTTAATTAGTATTGTGCCATCTTTTTAAAAATTTTTGAGGAATAAATTTTCAATATCGAATATGTGATTTTTGTTAATATTATTTTATTTATTTTAAAAAATAAAGTAATTGTTTTTTTATCTTCATTTTATCTTATTTTATTTTAAATATATTTAAATGATTTCATTTATTAATATCTTTAAATGTTACAAAGGCAACCATTTAATTGTATAGTTTATAATAAGATAATTTTTAAAAAAATTAATAGTTATTATTCTATAATTATAAAAATTAATATAAATTTTATAACATTTATCGAGTTTTTGTACAAAATAATATAGTTTGAGTTACATAATTACAATTAATTACTATTGAATGTATTACAATCTATTTTTTTTTGTGTAATGTTGAAATTGATTTTACCATGATATAACATGTATTCCATTTTTCTTTTTTTCTTTAATTACTTGTCTTTCCTCGTCAGTAGGCATGTCTGGTTTAATTCCAGCTTTTCTTCTTTCTCTTTGAATTCTTCCCTAAAAAATAAAATAATTTTATTTATAATAAATTATGCCAATAGTTATTAGGATGGTTTGAGGGGTGAACCTTATACATAACTTACCCAAAATCGTTTGCAAACTTTGTAATTTTCAAAATAATAATAGCAGTTTTCATATTTATAGTCATTTTTTTCTAAGCATTTTTTTGAAAGTTCACCTTCCTGAAATGTATAATAAAGAAATAATTATTATTAAAAATTGGGGAAAAATAAATTTTTTGTAATTACTTACTTCAAAACAAGGATTATCGATCATCTCTTTAACTTTTTTTGAATTCATTTTTTTTTTTATTTTTATTTTCAATTATGATATTAAAGTATTTAAATGATTGTTAATAAAGAAGGCGGTGGTCATCAGCTGGTTTGAAGGATAACTTTAAAATGGTTACGTTAACAAGTGGGCGAGTTTCTCAAAACGAGAAAATAAACAAAAATAAATATTCTATTTTATTACCTACATACAATGAAAAGGAAAATTTGCCTATAATTGTATGGCTCATTGTAAAATATATGAATGAAGGGTAAGTGATTTTTACATTTTTCCCCCTCTTAAGTTATTCAGAGTTTTGTTAAGAAAAAGTTTTAATATTTGCAGGAATTATGATTATGAAATAATTATTATTGATGATGGGAGTCCTGATGGAACTTTAGAAGTAGCCAAACAATTGCAAAAAATATTTGGATCAGATAAATTAATATTGAGACCCAGAGAGAAAAAATTAGGGTTAGGTACAGCTTACATTCACGGTTTAAAACATTCCTCTGGTGATTATATTGTTATTATGGATGCTGATTTATCTCATCATGTAAGTTAAAAGTTTTTTTTGAACTGTGCTATATGCTATTATCCTTATTTTTTTTAATCCTTCATAATTTTAGGAATTAAACAATTCGTTTTTATTTCAATTTTCAACTATGCACAAGTACTTTTTATATACTTAAGACATTATTTTTATTTTATAGCCTAAATTTATTCCTCAATTCATTGAATTTCAAAAAACTCAAGATTTTGATGTAGTAACAGGAACAAGGTACAAAGGTAATGGTGGAGTTTACGGCTGGGATTTTAAAAGAAAACTTGTTAGCAGAGGAGCAAATTTTTTAACTCAGTTTCTTTTGAGGCCTGGAGTCAGTGATTTAACTGGAAGTTTCAGGTTCGAAGAAAATAAACAGTCATTGTCAAAATGTTTTTTTTTTTAAGTACAAAATTTTAATTTTAATTCTTTATTTCAGATTGTATAAAAAACCTGTTTTGGAAAAATTAGTGTCAAGTTGTGTTTCAAAAGGTTTCGTTTTTCAAATGGAAATGATTATAAGAGCTAAAGAAAATCTTTTCACTGTTGGAGAGGTACCCATTTCATTTGTCGATAGAGTTTATGGCGAATCAAAACTTGGACAGACTGAAATTTTTCAATTTATAAAAGCATTGCTTTATTTATTTTTTACTACTTAAAAAATTTAAGCATCGTTGTACTGATTTAAATAAATATAAAATATTTTATATAAACTTTAATGAATTTTTAATAAAATAAATATATTGTTTGATTTTCTAAGATGTTTTTTTTAAATATTTTACACAGTTATGTTTAATATTTAAATATTTTATTTAAATTATTAAAATTTTAAATTTTAAATAAAAAAGCAAGGATTTCTTTAAAGTTGTAATAATATGATGTATTCATTTTAATTAAGAACTTATAATAAAATAATTTATAAAAATTATTTGGTAATAAAACCTAAAAGAAAAATTTTAAAAATATTTATTTTCCCTCGCATTTCTAGAAGGCTGTGATTCGAACTTGACAGCTGTTTTTTTTTTTTTTTTTTAACTTAAACTAATATGGCGTAAATAGTAGTGAACAAAGAAATACGCAATAGTCGAAAAATTCATTTTTAAGTATTTTATCATTTATTTTTAGTTTTTTTAACTGTTGAGTTATCTAGGTAAAATGCTAGAATTAGAAGTTATTCCAGAAAGATCATTGGGAAATGATCAATGGGAATTTATCTTAGGTAAAAATTAATTTTTTTTTTCGTTTTTTTTTTGAAAAGTTTTGTTTTTATTATTGAAAAATTTACGCTTCTTCCTTTAAATCGAATAATTATTTTACATTATAATTTATTTAAATTTGTAGGTGTATGTTTGTATTTGTATTTAATGACTGTTTAAAAAACTGCCAGAATGTTTTACTGAAATTATTATTTTTTTCTTTGTTTAAAGTTTCGACCTACCCTAACAACTGGCGTTAGTCAATAAAACTGACGTCATTTTTTCCGTTTATAATTAAAAAAAATTTAGTTTTAAATACATTAAAAAGTATGGAATTGTCAATAAAATATTGTTTTTTGATTCTGTTATTATTCTCACGTTTAGTAAAAAAAAAAGAAAAAAAGAAAACCCAATTAGTCGTGATAACAATTTTCTTTTATTAGTTTTTAATTATAAATTTTGTTTTAATAGGTATTTTTTTAAAGTTTGTTTTAAAAATGACATGTATGTGTACTCTAATACAGATAGTTTATATTTTTATGTAAAGAATAAAAAATTTTATGGTTTTTTTTTAAAAAAAAGTTAAAGACAATGTAAATATGATTAAAATCCTAACTTGACTTTCAAAAACATTATTTAATATAACAGTTAAATTAAAAACCAACAAATGATTTATAAAAATTTTTTTATTAAATATTTTGAATATTTTTTTTTTTCTTTTAAGGTATGCATTTTTCTCAAGCGGTTGCAATAATACAGTCACAAGTGGGCATTATCAAAGGTGTTCAAGTTCTTTATAATGATATGGTATGTATTAATAGATAATAATAATAATTCATTTGTTACATTATTATTATTGGTATATATTTAAAAAAAAAAAATCATTTAAACAATTAAAATAACAGTTAATATCTTTTTAGGATTAATATTTAATATATCTGTATAATTATCTTAAAAATAGATATTTCTTTGTTATTTATTAAATACTAATGCCTTTTTTATAATCTTTAGTTTACCTCTAAAGTTTTTACACAAATTAAATTTTATTTTTATTTTTAGAATCCTTTAACTGCTGATCTAGTAATCAATTTATCTTGTGATGGAATAAGGTTGATTTTTGATTCAGTTTCACAAAGGCTTAAAATAATAGAAGTTTATAACATGAAGTTAATAGCATTGAAATACTGGTAAATAAATTTAAATTTTAAACGAATTTTTTTTTGCATTTCATTATGACAATTTGTTTTTAATTATTGTTTTTTTACAGTGGTATACTTTTCAATTCACCAGAAATAATTCCAAGTATAGAACAAATTGAGCATTCTTTCGGTGCTACTCACCCAGGTGTTTATGACTTGGAAAAGCAATTGTTTCAATTGAATTTTCGTGGTTTAAGTTTTTCATTTCCTGCAGATTCAAAATTTGAGGTAAAATTTTATTCTTATTAATGTAACATTATTACATAATGAGTTAAAATGCATTTAATATCTTATAATTTAAATTTTTATTAAAGCCTGGTTATACCCATGGTCTTGGTTCACTTCAATTTCAAAATGGATCTAGTCCGATTGTATCTAGGACTGTCATTTATGCTGGGGTAAATTTAAATGACTGCAGAACTCCGCCAATGCCT